CAGGCAGTGGCACATCCCATCCTCCCATCTCATTGGCCGACCTCCTCACTCATCGCATCTGCCCGGCTGTGTGGTCCCCGCCCACCTGCACTGCTGTTGTTCAGCTGTCTCATCTCCAATCTGCCCTCACTGCTGTCAACCATCTTCTAAAATGTAAATGTGACCACTCATGGCATCTGCCGACAGCCTGTTTCCTCTGGCTCCCAGAACCATTGCCAGTCTAACTCTTTGACCTTCTAGAAGTTTCTAGGCCTCTGTTTATGTCACTGCTCCTGTCTCTCCAGGCAAACTTCCCGTCTTCAGGTGTGGGTGCCCCCCAGGCTGGCTGCTACCTTCTGCGTCCATGGAGACTTAAATGCTGGCTCCTCTCTTAAGCGTATCACATGGTGTCAGCTTTGGGAGGCGAGGAGCCTGCCCCTCAAGCCTCCCACACATCGACCTACCTGTCTGTTCTTCACCTCCTGCCTTAGGCTTTGAGCTCAGGGGGGTAACACGCCCCTTACCTCTGTATCCACGGTCCTGGCACAAGCCCTGGGCCTCGAGCAAGGGCTCAGGAGTTCTGCTACGTGAATGAACGAATGAGTGAGGGAACTGGAGCTCTAGCCTGGAAGATCCTCCCCAGGAGCTACCCTGCAACGTGGCCTCTATCCAGCCTGGAGGTGAGCATCCCCTCCAGGGCAGAGGCACACTGTGCAGCGGGCTCCCGGGCTGTAGGCTGCCCCAGGCTTGGGGGTCCCTGCAGGAGGTGGCCCCACCCTTCAGGGTGAGGGGTGCATTGTTCATCTTCCCACTGCTGTAAGGAACTATCCGAGACAGCCCAACTTTATGGAGAAAAGAGGTTTGCTGGGCTTGCAGCTTCAAGTGCATGGTGCAGGCAGAGGCTCAGCCCCCTAGAAAGGCCTCTGCGGGCTGCATCGCAGCCTGGCTGATGGTGATGGCAGGAGCGTGTGTTGGGGGCAGGAAGGGGCACATGCGGACACTGGAAGTCACAGAGCAGGAAGGGCTGGGTTTGCTCCTACCGTGATGACTCTCTTGTGAGAACTACCATGGTTGCCCCAAAACTGCTATCAACCCTCACAAGGGCAGGGCCCCCTCGGGCCTCCCACTAGGCCCCACTTCCAGAAGGATCCACAGCTTCTCCCCCTGCCACTGCCCAGAGCTTTGGAGGATACTGAACCACATCCAAACCACAGCAAGGTGGGAAGGAGAGGCCGTGGAGGGCCCTGGAGGTTGGCGCAGGCGTGGGCAGGAACTGGGGCTCACTCTCCTCGCTGCCAGATCTACCCTGGAATTCTGGGACGGTTAGGACGGCTTGGATCTCTAGGATTCCCAGGAAAATGCCTTTTGCCACTCTAGGGGCAGCTGTGGGTACGGGGAGACATCCAGGCTGTCCAGGAGTGAATGAGGCACAGAGGCAGGTACTAAAGGGTCTACTGTGCAGGGCCCCGGCCCCTGCTGCCCACCAGCCCACCAGCCCACCAGCCCACCAGCCGTCCATCACTTTGAGAAGGGTTGAGGATGACGGTTGGAGGCAGGCGGGAGGCGTGGGGGAGCCCCACTCGGATCAGCTGATCCCTGGCCGCTGCAGCTGGCGAGAGGGCACCGGTTTTAAATTATGAGTTCTGCATTCTGATGAAAACTACTGATAATAACAACCACATGACGAGAACTCACCGGGATGCCTAATCCTCTCTGCAGCAGGCCTCTTAATGAGGTCACGTTCCTGGGCGGTGCGGGATTGGATTTCCAGCGAGTGTCAGAGCCCCGCCTCCAGCCACTCCTCTCCTGCTCTGCCCGGTTAATGCCCTCCTGGCTGTGACGTCGGCAGGAGATGCATCTGAGCCCGGCCTCAGTGGGTGTGCAGAGGGCCCCGAGGGGGCCTAGGGCAGGGTTATGACGCTTGGCAGGGGTCCCTGCTCCCACCACCCACGTGACTGGGGCTGGCTCCCTCTGTTCCTGAGGGGAGGCCCTGTTCTTTTTGATCACTGGCGAAAAGAGGAGGAATCCGGGAATGTGGGGATGAGAAGGAGCTTCGGAGAAGCAGACTCAGCAAACAGCAACTCAGAAGCCACTCACAGTCTACTCTGCAGCCCCAGGCCACAGTCACCACATGCAGGCCTCTCCCGACCCTGCTGGCTAGGTGGAGGACACGTGCAACAGTTCTGCTGGTCACCCCCGTGTTCCCACCCGCCCTGCCTTCCTCCTCCCCGCTTCCCTCAACCTTTATCTCCCTGGAAGAAAGATCGTAGCATTCCCATTTCCGGGATATTTGGGTTTTAAAAGCTTCTCAAGGCCAAAAGGAATGAAATACCCGTGGTGGAATCCGACAGGCGGTTTTGGAGGAATTAAGACAGGAGGGTGTCCTGGGCTCCTTTCTGAACCCTGGTAACCCCTGCTTCCCTGCCCTGGGCTGGAGGCTGGGAGACAGGGGTGACCGAACCTCTTGAAGCCCTCGTTCTCTGCAGAGAACGGGGAGCGGGGCTTCTGCTGGGAGTGATGTTGGCAGTGCATCCTCTCTTGTGATCTCCCGAACGTGCTGCCTCTGCAGTGGGGTCACGCCTGGTGAGGGGTGGACTCCCTTTCCAGTTTCCTGTAAGCTGGAGACGCCCAGTAAACAGCAGAAGTTCCTTCCTCTCTTCCTTCCTTTTTTTTTTTTTTTTTTAAAGATGTATTTATTAGAAAGGCAATTATAGAGAGACAGAGGCAGAGGGAGAGAAAGGTCTTCTGTCTGCTGGTTCAGTCTCCAGATGGCCACCGAGGCTGGATCTGTGCTGATCTGAAGCCAGAAGCCAGGAGCTTCCTCCAGGTCTCCCACGCGGGTGCAGGGGCCCAAGCAAGGGTTTGGGCCATCCTCCTCTGCTTTCCCAGGCCACAGCAGAGAGCTGGATTGGAAGTGGAGCAGTCGGAACTCGAACTGGCACTATATGGGATGGCATTTGGGATGCTGGTGTGGCAAGCAGTGGCTTAACCTGCTGTGCCCAACGCCAGCCCCAGCAGTATGTTTCTTAGAGTTGCTCCTGCGATGGCCCTGGCAGCTGCAGAAGGATCTGTAGCTGAGTCCAGGGCCTGGGGGATGGACAGACGCAGGTCAGCGGCGCTGTGTGCTTTCAGAGCTGCGGGCAGGGGACGCCTCTGATGTCCTCCTTGAGACACAGTGAGAGCCGGACGCCCTCAGCTCTGCACTCCGCTGGCTTTGGAGACTTGGAAAGGGCCGGGGAGGGAGAGGCCAGAAGCTGAGTTTGGCAGAGCCTCGTCCGGCTCCCGGAGCTTCCCTGGGTGTGGTCTAACTGGTGTGAGCCTTCCCACAGCCCTGTCAATTCCTGCCAACCTCTGACCCCCAGGAAGATCTGGTTCTACCTTCATCCTGTTCCTGGGGAGCCTGACCCTCTGCGGCCCATGGGACTACCTACCTCATTTTCAGGGCTCAATGCAAAAGGAAAAAGCAGCATCCCTTGTTAAAAAGTGCTAATGGGACCAGTGCTGTGGTGTAGTAGATAAAGCCAACTCCTGAAGTGCTAGCACCCCTTATGGGTGCCGGTTCAAGTCCCAGCTGCTCCTCTTCTGATCCAGCTCCCTGCTAATGTGCCTGGGAAAGCAGCAGAAGATGGCCCAAGTGCTTGGGACCCTGCACACACATGGGAGACCTGGAAGAAGCTCCTGGCTCCTGGTTTTGGATGGGCTCAGTTCTGGCCATTTGGGGAGTGAACCAGTGGATAGAAGACCTCTCTCTGTTTACCTCTACCTCTCTCTGTAACTGTGTCTTTCAAACAAAATAAATAAATCTTAAAAAAAAAAAAGTGTAAGGATCCTGGCTGGGCATCTGGCCTAGCGGTTAGGACTTGGGTTGAGACACCCTTGTTCCAGGTTGCAGTGCCTGGGTCTGATTCTCAGTTTCACCCCCCAACTCCAGTTTCCCACTAATGCAGACCCTGGAAGGCAGTAGTGATGGCTCAAGTTGCTGGGTCCCTGCTACACATGGGAGACCAGGATTGGGTTCCTGGCTCTCAGCTTTAGCCCTAGCCTACCCCAGTTGCTGTGGGAAGCTGGGGAGTGAACCCCTGGATAGGAGCTCCCACCCCTTCTCTCAAAAAAAAAAAAAAAGTATTAAGAATCTCAGCGGGGCTGCTGTTTGGCCTCCCAGTTAAGACCCTTGCATTCCGCATTGGAGTGCCTGAGTTCAGTTCTTGCCTCTTGCTTCCTACTAATGCAGACCTGGGGAGGCAGTGGGGATGGCTCAAGGAATTGGGTTCCTGTCCCTGACTTGGATACCTGGATTGCATTCCTGCTTCTGGTTTTGGCCCCAGCCAGGGGCTGCTGCAGGCATTTGGGAGGGGAACCAGAGGATGGGAGTTCTGTCTGTCTGCCTCTTACATAAAATGGAAAGTTTCAGGATGGTGACAAGAGAGTGTTAAACCAAGGCCATGACACCAGCCCTGGATGTCTAATATTTGCTTCTCAGAGCGGGGGACTTTGGGCCATCCCAGAAACAACTCTAAGTTTGAATTTCCAGGCCCTGGTGACAGGTGACAGAGGAGTCTGTGCTGCTTGGTAACTTTCCAGCCGCACCCTGGGGAGTAGGGACCACCTGCTCCGGTGCCCCCATCAGGGGCAGCTTCCTTTGCTTTTCCTCTCCCCTTGTTCTCTTGGGGGGTTTCACGTCTGGGAAGCCAGGCAGGAGGGTGCAAGTGCTGGAGACAGAGGAACAAACTGAAGGCAGAGCGGCGGATTCCCGTGAAACGGTGGCTTTCTGTGACCCTAACTCTTCGGCGAGGCAGGGAAGCCGGCCTGCGCGCAGTTCCAGCTGTTGCAGCGACCTGAGCTCCAGGTGTAGTCTCTGCTGCTTGCCTCACAGAAGAGGCAGGCCCTGGACTCCCGCCTCCCCACCCCGCCACCGCCACGCAGCTGCTGGGAAGCGCGGATAAACACTCGGGAGCGTCCAGGAGCCCACGTGGAGCGCTGGAGTGCGGAGACAGCCGTCATGGGCTTCTTATCAGGCACCTGCCGGGCAGCACGTCTTTCCTCCAGAAGACAGCACGCAGAGATAAATGACCTGGCAAGAGCAGCCTCCTTGGAGAGACGCGAAAGGCCTCGGAGCCGGCAGAGCCGAGTGTACAAACAGCCGTCACCAGGCACAGGCAGAGCCACAGCGGCCCAACCGCTAGCATCACCCAAGGCATCAGTGAACCGGAAGTACTTGCTGCGGGTCGCCTGGGCTCCATCCAAAGCATCAATGAACCGGAAGTACTTGCTGCGGGTTGCCTGGGCTCGTGTAGCTGTGGAAGACAGGAAGGCATCCCTCCAGGGCGCTGCCTCCAATCTAGTTGGAAGATGCAACTGGCCCATCTCCTGGGGGTTGCTCTCCAGGGGAACGTGTTGATGGAAGCTGTCGGCAGAACGAATCCAACAGAAAGTGGGGCAAGCCGGTAGCAAGGAGTCCAGGCCATCGGCTTCAGAGCCGTGAAGAAGGACTTGCAGTTGCTGGCAGGTGGGGCGCCCCCGGAGAGCGGGGATTTGAGCGGCGTCCTGAGGGTTTGGCTTGCTGGGAGCTGGAGCGAGCGGGGGGAATGGGGCAAGGCAGGTGGACATTGAGCGCAGAAGTGTTGGTGTCAGGAGGACACGGTTTCCAATGCTGGCGCCACTTCTCTCTGCAGTCGTGGCTTTGGGGAAGTGACTAAGCCTCTCGCATTTATCACACGGGGAGAAATAGCGCCCACCTCAGAAGACTGTTGTTAAGGATTAGCTAAGATCTCCATAAAGCATTGAGCCTGGTGCCTGGCACATAATAGATGTTCAAGAAACGACGGCACATTTTTATTGTTAGCTGCAAAAGCAGGAAAGTGCGTGCTTGGGCAACGATTTCTGTCTCAGTCGAGGAGAACGGGGTTTATTTAGGGAATAGGCGGCTTTAAATTTACGATGGGGCTCAGACTGGATAGGGTCTTGAATGCCAAGTTCAGAAAGCGAACGTTTTTGGCAGAGGAGAGAGAATTAAGTGACCTGTTGAGATCTAGGAGAGTCATTCTCGCGCTCTCCCTCATTCCTTCAACACAGGCTCGCACTGGTGCTAAACTCCAGTGTCTCTGTGCGTGTGTGCTGCACGCTTTCTCCAGGGATGTCTTCCTGTGTTTCAGAAGGCAGCAAGATCCTCTGAGTTGGGAAGTAACCAGGAAAGCTTTGGAACGTGTGAGCAAAGGGGTGGTTGGAAATAGAAGGGGAAACTGGGAATTTTAAAAAATGGCCATAATTCAAGGATCTGCCTGGCTTTTGCCTGTGGTAAGGCACAGGAAGCCTGAGAGGATGTTCCCACTTCTGCTTCCCCCTGGCGGGTCTTTTTGGAGAGGGGGACTGGAGTTGCTGTTCCCCTTTTGGGAGTCGTGATACTTGGGAAAAACCTTTTTTTTTTTTTTTTTAAAGGAATGAAACCCTTTTCCCCAAGATTTATTTATTTATTTGAAAGTCAGAGTTACACACACAGAGAGAGAAGGAGAGGGAGAGGGAGAGGGAGAAGGAGAGGGAGAGAGAGAGGAGAGAGAGGGAGGGAGAGGGAGAGAGAGAGAGAGAGAAAGAGAGATCTTCCATCTGCTGGTTCACTCCCCAATTAGCCACAATGGCCGGAGCTGTGCCGATCCAAAGCCAGGAGCCAGGAGCTTCTTCGAGGTCTCCCACGTGGGTACAGGGGCCCAAGGACTTGGACCATCTTCTACTGCTTTCCCAGGCCATAGCAGAGAGCTGGATGGGAAGTGGAGCTGCCGGGACTCGAACCAGCGCCCATATGGGATGCTGGCACAGCAGGCAGTGGCTTTACCTGCTACACTACAGCGCCAGGTCCAGGGAAAAATCCCTTTTTACACAGGACCTTCGTGATGGCTTCCTTCCCGGAAGGTGACCTAGAGAGAGGCATTACAAAATATAAAATATGAATTCCTTCGGCCTTCCATCTTCACTTCTGGGCCTTTATCTTAAAGGAAACAATCAGACCAGAATGTCTGGTTTTTGTCTTGCTTAGACTAGCAAAGACATGGGGCTACCATTGTGGCCCAGCAGGTTAAGCCCCCGCCTGCAATGCCAGCATCCCATATGAACACCGGCTTGAGTCCTGGCTGCTCCACTGCTGCTCCAGCTCCCTGCTAATGCACCTGGGAAAGTAACAGAAGATGACCCTGCTGCTTGGGCCCCTATTACCCATGTGGGAGATGGTGTTTCCGGCTCCTGGCTTTGGCCGGGACTGTTTGGCAAGTGAACCAATGGATGGAAGATCTTTCTTCCTCTCTACTGCCCTGTCACTATTTGATAAATAAATAAATCTTTAAAAAAAATGCTGAACACTTAAAAATCATGCAAATGTTGCGAGGGTGCCCCGGGCTCTGGGAGGTCCCCTGTGGAGCTGCACCTGAGGTGCAGGTCCTGTGCCGCGATTCTGCCGGCTGGTGTCACTTTTCAAGAAGGTAGAGTCTTGCAGGGAGGATGGTGAGGGAGGCGTGGACGAGGTCCGTCCAGTGATTGAGATTGGGAAGCATCTGGGTCTTGCTTGGGTGCAGCAGCTGGGGTGTGTTTGTTTGCTTTTTATTGATTTACTTGAGAGAGAGAGGGAGAAGGAGAAAGAGAGCTCCCCCTGTCTGCTGGTTCACTCCTCAAATGCGCACAATGCCTGGGACAGGGACTACCATCCAGGTCTCTACATGGGTGGTTAGGGACCCAAGTACTTGAGCTGCTGCCGCTGCCTCCCAGGTCTGTATTAGCAGGAAGCAGAAAGCAGGAGCTGGAACTGGGATGCAAACTCAGATACTGGGATACAGGACCCAGGCATCCTAACTAGCTGGCCCTGCGCAGTTCTGAAACCAGGAGCCAGGAGCAGCTTCTGGGTCTTCCACACAGGTGCAGGGGCCTAATTCCTTGGGCCATCTTCTGTGCTTTCCCAGCCCATCAGCAGGGGGCTGGATCAGACATGGAGCAGCATCCATACGGGATGCTTGCATTGCAGGTGGCAGCTGTAACAGCTGTGTCACAATGCTGCCCCCTCTTTTTTTTTTTTTTTTTTTTAAGTTTATTTTGGTATGAAAAACCTGAAATCCATGCAGAGTTTTTAGGTAATATGCATTTTCCATGAACTTTTGCAAGAGTCCTCATATACCCATTTTTAAAAACAAGTTGTGGGCTGGCATGGTGGTGTAATGGGCTAAGCCTCTGCCTGTGGTGCTGGTGTCCCATATGGGTGCTGGTTTGTGTCCAGATGCTCCTCTTCCAATCCAGCTCTCTGCTATGGCCTGGGAAAGCAGTGGAAGATGGTCTGGTGCTTGGGCCCCTGCACCTGTGTGGGAGACCAGGTGGAGGCTCTTGGCTCCCAGGTTCAGATTGGCTCAGCTCCGGCTGTTGTGGCCATTTGGGGAGTGAACCAGCAGATGGAAGACCTCTCTCTGTCTCTCCCTTTGTCTGTCTGTAACTCTGCCTAAAAAAAAAAAAAAAAAAAAAAAAAAAAAAGTTGCTCAGAAGATTTGAAAACGCCTGCTTTGAATCTGGCCTGCCTGTTTCTGTTGCTGATCACTCCCTGCAGGAGGAGTTGCAAATCAAGGAAGGACCACAGTGCAAGGAAGGAGGCCCTCAGTCCGCAGCAGCGAGGGTGATGGTGGTGGCGGCGGTGGAGCCTGCTTGCACCCTTTATTTGGCCAGAGGGGGTTAGCCGTGCACTGGAGTGGGGAAGAGAGCGCACGTGTGTGCCACTAGGTGTGGCCATGGGGTTTGCATTGGCTTCCTCTGCTGTTTGATTCATGCCTGCTTTGTGCAGGCATCCGTTTCCTCCTTAAGTAGAGCTGACAGTCATACCTGTCGGGTGGGCAGAGTGGCTGCTCCATCCGTGCCAGCTCTCCTCCCCTCTGGAGGATTCTCTGGGGTGCCTCTGTGTGGCCAGACTCGTGCCTCTTGAGGCCCTTGGTAAGGCAGTGGACAGTTAGTCAAACTGCACTGTGGCCGGAGCCCTCCACCGCCAGCTCCTGCTTCCTGGCAGGGCCCAACCTGGCTAACTTCTGTCTGAGCAGGTGAGGCGGCAGGCAGCAGATGGGTAGGCTATTTTTAGCTCCCTGCAGAGGATGACGTATGTGACTTCCAAGGCCCATACCTGGATCTGTGCTTATCAGACATATGCACACAGATCCAGCGTGAGGCCAAGGAGAAATTTCAACAGAATGACGCCAGGGAAGGGGCCTCGTCTTGGGCCAGGAAGGGCGCAGGTGTAACACAGTTCACTTTGGCTGGGCGTGCAGGTTGAGGTCCCTGCCTTAGGAAGTTGCCTCCCAAAGGTGCCATCTTCTCACAAAGCCCTGTGTCTGCGCCCGAGCCATCTCTCTTGCTGTGGCTGGAGGCTCCTGTGGAGGCTCGGTCCCCTGTGTCGGTGTTGAGAAACGACAAGACGGTTTTCTGCAGGGGGAGTTCTTGGTTCTGGTGGGACTGGATTAGGTACAAGAGTGGATTGCGATAGAGTCTGGCACCCACCTCTATCTCCGGCACGAGTGCTTCTCCCTCACGTGAGCCCACTGGCCCTTCTGCCATCCATGGGACTCTCGTCGGAAACTGAGCAGATGTGGGGACCATGCTCTCAGACTTCCAGGACCCTGAGCCCAGATAAACCTCTTTTGTTTGTAAATTACTCAGTTGAAGGTGTTCTGTCTCAGCAGCAGAAAGGGGACTGAGATCCCTCCCTAGCCTTCCTGTGCTTGGGTCCTGGTGAATGCCCACCAGTCTTCTCCCGCCTTTCCCTGACACCTGCAGGCAGTGTTACCCACCCACCATGGGCTGCCAGTCACCACTGCCCCAGTGGTTAACACACAGGGTTACAATCGGCTGCCTCTTCAGCCGAACCAAGACTCTGCAGCGGCCGGGGGCCTGTCTTCTTATAGTGTGTAGCTCCAGGATGTCACACGGAACTTGGCAGATGGTGGGTGTAGAGGCGTGATTAAACCGTATAAACCTGTCAGTTTTGTGACATCTTTCCTTCCTCTTGGCCCCCACAAAATATGCTACAACTTTGCATTAACTTTTTTAAAGGTTTTTTTTTTTTAAATTTATTTGAAAGGCAGAGTTATGGAGAGAGAGAGAGAGAAAGAGGGAGAGAAAAAGAGAGAGAGGAGAGAGAGAGAGAGAGAGCTTCCGTCCCCTAGTTCACTTCCCAGATGGCTTCAGGGCCCAAGTCTGGGCCAGGCCAAGCAAGGAGCCAAGAGCTTCTTCCAGGTCTCCCATGTGGGTGCAGGGCCCCAAGCACTTGGGCCATCTTCTGCTGCTTTCCCAGATGCACCAGCAGGGAGCTGGATCAGAAGAGGAGCAGCTGGGTCTCGAACTGGTGCCCACACGGGATGCTGGCATCCCAGGTAGAGTCTTAGCCTGCTATGTTACAACAGCAGCCCCACATTAATTTCTTTTTTAGTAAAAATGCATAGGAATGGCATTTGTTTTCAGTACGTCACAGCCACCCCGTGAAGCCACTGGAGCTGTGGGGACGAGAATGCAAGTCCCTGTCCCTTGTCGTCAGCTTAGGAGGTGCCTGTCTCAGAGTTCCTTGTCAACAGGGTGGCATTTGCACCTGCTGTGGCTCACGGCTGGATTTTGGCTGGACCAGGGCTGCCCCCAGTAGAGCTGCCTTCACCATAGGTAAAGCAACAGCTGTAGAAAAGCAGAGCGGCCTGGGGCCCCTCAGATTCAGGTGAGAGTGAGCATTTCCTGGAGCTTGATGAGCACGGATTGGCTTTGAAGGCTCAGAGGCTTCAGGTCCCACCAGTGTCCACAGGGTCAGGGCAGCACGGAGTAGCGCAGGGGAAGGTCTGCGCTGTGCTTGGGGCCCTCCATGCCGGCCTCTGTGTGGCGTTTCTGGATGCTGAGCCAGAAGGCCACTGCATGTACCCCTGGGTGCCCTGCCGCAGGTTCCACGACCTCTGTGGAGACAGAGTGTCAAGGATGCTAGAGAGAGGAAGCCTGGAGAAGCAATAGTCTGTCTGTCTGTCTGTCTTTCTTTCTTTATTTCTTTCTTTCTTTCTCTCTCTCTTTCTTTCTTTCTTTTTCAAGATTTGTTTTATGGAGCTGGCTCTGTGGTGTAGTGGGCTAAGCCTCTGCCTGTGGCACCAGCATCCTATATAGGTGCTGGTTCAAGTTTCAGCTGCTACTCTTCTGATCCAGCTCTCTGCTATGGCCTGGGAAAGCAGTAGAAGATGGCCCAAGTGCTTGGACTCCTGTACCCATGTGGGAGGAAGCTCCTGGCTCCTGGCTTCAGATCAGCCCTGCTCTGGCTGTTGAGGCCATTTGGGGAGTGAACCAGAAGATGGAAGACCTCTCTCTCTCTCTCTCTCTCTGCGCCTCTGCCTCTGCCTCTCTGTAGCTCTGCAGTTAGAAGGAGAGAGACAGAGAGGTCTTCCATCCACTGGTTCACTCCCCAAATGGCTGCAGCAGCTGGGGCTGGGCCAGGTCGAAGCCAGGAGCCAGGAGCTTTATCTGGTCTCCCACATGGGTACAGGGCCCCAAGCACTTGGGCCATCTTCCAGTGCTTTCCCAGCACACTAGCAGGGAGCAGGATCGGAAGTGAAACAGCTGAGATTGGAACTGGTGCCCATATGGGATGCTGGCACTGCAGGTGGTGGCTTAACTCACTACACCAGAACTCCAGGCCCACAATAGCCTTTCTAAGGAGATGGTGTGTGGATGGCTAGAAGAAGAATTCAGCCCAGAGTTAGACTCCGAAGCTTCTTCCTTGTCATCCTGTCTTGGAGCCTGGTTTCCAAGAGCCAGGTAAACATGAGGGCACCAGCCAGGGGCGGGGCGGGGAGGGTGAGGACCTGCTTGCAGTCCTGTCCCTGGATTTTCGTCGTTGCATCAACCAAATGAGATAGCAGAGCTCTGAGAACATGCTACTTCAGAGGGTGAAATTACAGACTCGTGGCAGCCAGAACGGCTATTTGCAGTAATGACTACTCTAGCACAGGTTGGAAAAGTCTAGTAAATGTTGCCCTCGTTTGAAATGTTGCCCCGATCCCTGCCCCACCACCAGCCCGCTGCCTTGCAGGTTGGGAGGCAGAGTGACTATTTTCTGCTTGTTTGTGTTTCAGAGCCAAGCTGTCTGGAACGACTGTCTGGAAGACGCTCTTCCCCGTCCTGGCCATGGCACCCGGCAATCAGAAGCCATCGGCGAACCCAGGGCTGCCTCGGTAAACATTTATAAGATCTGGAGGGATCATTAGCTGAGGGTAGAGGATGTCTTTGTTTCAACGTCTCCGTCACCATGAGTCCCAAACGGAATTCAACCTTTGCCCTTTAACTTATGGGAATTCAAGGGATGCCATGCGGAGAAGGAGAGGGAACACCGTCTGCACCTTAGAACATCAGATTCTGATGCCCAGGCTGCACTTCAGAGGGGTTAAGTTGGGGACCTGGGGGCTGGCGCTGTGGCACCGCAGGCTAAGCCTCTGTCTGTGATGCTGGCACCCATGTGAGTCTTGCTTGCTCCACTTCTGATCTAGCTTTCTGCTAATGCACCTGGGAAAGCAGTGGAAGATGACTCAAGTCCTTGGGGCCTTGCACCCTTGTGAGAGACCTGGATGGAGTTCTGGGCCCCTGGCTTCGCCCTGGCCCAGCCCCTGCCATTGTGGCCATTTGGGGAGTGAACCAGCAGATGGAAGATCTTTCTCTTTCTCTGTCTCTCCCCCTCTCTGTGTGACTCTGCCTTTCCAATAAGTACAATCTTTAAATAAAAAAAAAAAAAATCAGAGTCCCTGGGGGTGACGCCCAGGCACCTTATATTTTGCAAATCTCACCAAGTGATTCTACTGTGCAGCCGTGGCCAGGAACCACTGACTTACATGGTGCGGGGAGTTCGTGCAGCCCTGTGCCCGTGCTGGAAGCCCTGGGGCAGGACGAGGTGCAGGATGGGCTTCTTCTCTCCCCAGGGGGATCCTGCTTCCTTGTGCTCCTGCCACGCACATCTGTCTGTGCCCAGTGTGACTCTGGAGTGCCAAGATCTGCATTTCACTGGAGCGTCACCGATCCAGCCAGAGCCACAGGGATCTCTACTGTACTCCATGGAGGAGTTTAAGAGATTTTAAAGTGCAGCATTGGCCACAGGAGATGTTACTTTCCTCCTACTGTTACCTTTGCCACACATGCCGCCCCCGCATTCCTTTTCTTAGCGGCCCTCATGGAAATCTAAGCACCATCTTCATCCTTGTACATTTCCTCAGCCCCGTATCGGTCTCCAGGCCTCAAGGATGCTACTTCCGGCTCTTTCCCCGTGCTTTCTGCCCTGGCCGTGGGCTAGTCCTTGGTCTTGACTGTATTCCTGTCACCTGGACTGGCCTCATTCCTGTCTGTTCCATCGGCTGCCAGCCTTCCCAGCAAAGAGTCCACATAGAAATCGCCCACACCATTGCCTGCTTTGAGCTCTCATTACTTCCTGGTGCTTTTTTTTTTTTTTAAGATTTATTTTATTTATTATTTGAAAGTCAGAGTTACACAGAGAGAAGAGAGGCAGAGAGAGAGAAGTCTTCCATCCAATGGTTCACTCTCCAATGGCCACAATGGCTGGAGCTGCGCCGATCTGAAGCCAGGAGCCAGGAGCTTCTTCCAGGTCTCTCATGCAGGTGCAGGGGCCCAAGGACTTGGGCCATCTTCTACTGCTTTCCCAGGACATAGCAGAGAGCTGGATAGGAAGTGGAGCAGCCGGGTCTTGAACCGTCGCGCATATGGGATGCCGGCACTGCAGGCCAGGGCGTTAACCTGCTGCGCCACAGCGCCGGCCCTTCCTGTTGCTTTTCTAATAAGGTTGAAGCTCCCCAGCATGTCCGTGATGCTCTGAGTGCCACATACCTTTGCAGGAACCTCATCTTCCGTCAACTTAAGGACCTAGACTCCAGCCACATGTGAGGGTGGCGTCCCCTTTTTGAAGTCAAGAGATTGTGGAGAATGGAATTAAAAGGTAACTTGGTTTTGAAGTTGATGCAAAGTTTTCTATTTTTTAAAGATTTATTTATTTGAAATTATATATATAGAGAGAAACAGTGGGAGATACAGAGAGAGAGAGGAAAGATATCTTGCATCTGCTTGTTCACTCCCCAAATGGTCCCAATAGCTAGGCCTGGTCCAGGCCAAAGCCGGGAGCTGGGAACTCCGTCCAGGTCTCCCATGTGGGTGCAGGGGCCAAGCACCCAGGACGTCATCTGCTGCTTTCCCAGGCACGTTAGCCAGATGCTGGACAGGAAGTGGAGTAGCCGGGACTTGAACAAGTGCTCTCATGGGATACTGATGTTGCAGGCAGTGGATTAGCTTAATCTGTTGTGCCAAAACACCTGCCCCCATAGATTTTTCTTAATACACATTTCCTATGAACTTTTTGAAGACCCCCCTCATATGCAAGGATTTCATACATTTTTTGGCACCAAAATAAAAATAAAACTTATCTTTTAATTCATTTTTTCCATGAACTTTTAAAAAATAAGCAATTCCAATTTAGAAGAATTGAATTGCTGGCTTTAAAAATTTTATATTTTTATTTATTTTCAAAGATTACTTAAAAGTCAGAGTTATGGGATGAGGGGAAGAGAGAGAGAGAAAGAAAGAGAGAGAGAGAGAAAAGAGGGGGGAAATCTTCTGTCTGCTGGTTGATTCCCCAGGTGGCCGCAACAGCCAGGTCTGGGCCAGGCCAAAGCCAGGATCCAGGAGCTTCTTCTGGGTCTCCCATGTGGGTAGCAAGGGCCCTAACACTCGGCCCATCTTCTGCTGCTTTTCCCAGGCTAGTAAAAGAGTGCTGGCTTGGAAGCAGATCATCGAAACATGAATGGAGCCCCTAGGGGATGCTGGTGTCACAGGCCGTGGCTTTACCCTCTGCACCACAACTCTGGCTCCTTTATTGATTTATTTATTTGAAAAGCAGAAAGAGGGAGAGGGAGAAGGAGAGAAAGAGGAGGAGGAGGGGGAGGAGGAGGAAGAGGAGAGAGAGAGAGAGCGATGTCCTATCTGCTGGTTCAATCCCCAGGTGCTTGCAGTAGCTGGGTCTTGAGCCAGGAGCTGGGAGCTCAGTCTGGGTCTCCCATGTGGACAGCAGGAACCTGATTACCTGCCGCCCAGATTCTGCGTTAGCAGAGAACCAGAATGGGGAGGAGAACCAGGACTTGAACCCAGGCCCTCCAGTATGGGATACTGGCGTCCCAACTGGCGTCTTAAGTGCTAGGTCAGACACCCACCCCATCCGCAGTTTCTCCAGTGCCCTCGTAGAACTCTGCTTCCCATGAGGCTTTGCGTGCGCTCTTGCCCCGGCTGGCTATCCTGTTCCCTCTCCAGGCAGGCCGGGCACTTCTCCCCTGTCTCGGAAGGGCCAGCCCTGGTGTCCCAGCCCCCTCCTTCCCCAAGCTGCATCAGATGCCCGCTCCTGGGGCCCTCCCTGGTGGGGCCAGAACGTCCTGACCCCACCCAGGAAAAGCACACGCCTTTCCTTCTCTGTCGAGTGCCCTGGCTGATAGTACTTTCTTTGCACCTGTGGTGCCTTCCTAGCCCCTGGAGGAAGCCGCTGTAGTCAGCGCCTGACCTGGCTCTGATGGTTCCCCTCTTTTGCTGATCTGAAGCCCGTTCTAGACCAGCTTGGCTCCTGCAGAACTCTGAGGGAGAGGATGCTGGGCGCAGGCCGCCCCTCCCGCCCCCGTGGAATCTTTCCGTTCCAAAGCTGTTTCTCCTTTCTTTGAGGCCTCTTTCCCAGGGACTCTAGAATTCTTTCTCTCCTTATCAAAATACTGTCTCAGAGTGAGGATATTTACTCTGCAACACAACTGCGGAGACCTTTCCCAGGCTTATTTGTGTGTGTGTTTAATATCACTGCTTAAAAAATATTTTATTTGCTGCATTGAGCATACTGCCTTTTAAAGTATATTCTTGGTAACTGTGATAGCAAAAGGATTCATGGGAGTCATTGTATTTTAGCAGAAAAAAGTTCAAAGGAACAAATTTCTGAGGTGTCTGATATTATCCCTCCTTAACGGTTATTTATTTGTTTGAAAGAATTACGGGGGCGGGGGGGGGCTTCCATCTGCTGGTTCACTCCCCAAATGGTCGCAACAGCCAGAGCTGGGCTGAACTGAAGCCAGGAGCCAGGAGCTTCTTCCAGGTCTCCCATGTGGGTGCAGGGGCCCAAGCACTTGAGCCATTTTCCACTGCTTTCCCAGGCCATAGCAGAGAGCTGGATTGGAAGTGGAGCAGCCGGGACTTGAACCAGCACCCATATGGGATGCCGGCACTGCAGGCAGTGGCTTTACCCGCTACACCACAGCGTCGGCCTCAGGAATTATTTTTTAATTGTGGAACTTTCAGATCTTAGCAGGAGAAGGCAGAGGAAACATTTGAGGGCGAGACAACCTTTTCCCAGGACTGTCAGGTGGTCTGTGCCAGTGGCGGACTGGGAGAGGGTCAAGTTTACCTTGTTGTGCACAGCGGGAAGAACAAAGCAGAGAGAGATCACACAGGTTGAATGTCTCTCTTGGCTCACTCCGCACACCTCCCTGTGGGGCGTCTGCCTGGGGAAGCTGTGTCTCAGGGCTTGCAAGAGCTAAGGGTCATGAAATCAGAGCCGCCCATGGAAGTGTCTCGTCAAAAGGCAAGGAGTGCAGAGTTAGAAAGCCCGGAGAATGGAATCAAGACACGAGCCCAGGGAGGCGCAGGTCAGGCCCCTGCTGGAGGGGCTGGAGGCAGAGCAGAGGGAGACAGTGAAGAGAGGGGAGCTCAGGGTATGTGGCCGCTCACAGCCCAAGCCCCCGACATGAGGCACGCGGGGTGTGCCTTAGAGGTGGCCTGTGGCAAGGCCTGGGGACTGTGCTGTGCAGGTTTCAGGTCTCAGGTTCTGGCCAAGGTGTGAGCCTGCCTCCTGAGTCTATGACTCCTAGGACACAGAGACCATCAGCAGGGGCTGGCTTGGCCCCTTTCTGGGGTGAACACCTGCTGCGCCATCAGCCTCTGTGTAGTTTTTGGCTGGTCAGGTTCCTGCCATCACTGGTGTGGAAATGCAAGGAGTGCATTGGAGTCCCCAGCAGGCTTCCAGCCAGCACCCACTGGCCTTTGGGCCAGGCCGTCAAGGGGGCTTGTTCCCGCCCAGCAGCCCCTCCTTTGGAAGTGCATGTGGCCAGTGGGCAGTGTCCAGCTTGGCCACGGTCTGAGGGACTCTCAGACCTACCTGACACCTGCTCTTGCTTTCCCTGGTGGTAGCTGCGGGTCCCTCACTCAGAGACAGGAGACTGCGTGTGGCGTAGAGGTAGGGCAGGGAGTGGCCACTCAGCCTCACGGGGGCCTGGAGTGACCCATCTCTGTCTTTTTCCCTTTGACATCTTTTATTACATTAAAAAAATTCTCAAATCTGGATGAACATGGAATACTTGCACACATTTTTTCTGGAATACTGTACAATATTTCAACACATGTATATGGCACAGACTGTTCAAATCGGGCAGCCAGCCTTCCCATCTCTTCACCTTTTGCTTGTGTTTGGAGCCTACCAGCCGCTGTCCCGCCATGGTTTGTGCAGTATGCAGTCCTACACTCTGCACTGTAGTCACCCACGTGCTGCGGAACACCAGGGCTCCTTAGCTCTGTCTGACAGTGCTTCCATTGTGACCCAGCCTCCCTCTGTCTCTTCTGCCTCCAGTATTAACAGCCTCCAGGGGTTGGTGCTGTGGTGTAGTAGGTTAATCCTCAGCCTGCAGTGCCGGCATCCCATATGGGTGCCGGTTCGAGTCCTGGCTGCTCCACTTCTGATCCAGCTCTCTGCTTATGGCTTGAGGAAGCAGAAGAAGATGGCCCAAGTCCTTGGGCCCCTGCACCCGTGTGGGAGACCCAGAAAAAGCTCCTGGCTCCTGGCTTCGGATCAGCACAGCTCCAGCCATTGTTGCCATTTGGGGAGTGAACCAGTGGATAGAAGACCTCTCTCTCCCTCTCACTGTCTGTAGCTACCTCTCAAATAAATAAATAAAATAAAATAAAAACAGTCTCTAGTAATTCCTGTTCTATGTTCACATCACCACTTTCTTTTAAATTTATTTTAAATGAGATATGTGTCTTTTTGGGACTGGCTTATTTCACCAGTGTAATGGTTTCCAGTTGATCCCTTTTGTTGCAAAAGCCTTGATATTTTTTTTTACAGCTCAGTAGTACTCCATTCACCATTTTTTTTTTTTTAACCTTCCACATATGAGAGAACAGGCAGTGTTTTTCTGTGTCTGGCCTATTCTACTCAACAATGGGTTCTACCCATTGGGCTGCAAATGTCAGGATTTCATGCCTTTTCATGGCTGACTCGTATTCCACAGTGTACAAATACCTCATTTTCTTTACCCATGGGTGGGCACCTAGGCTGGGCCCATAGCCTGGCGACTGGGAACAGTGCAGCAGTAACTGGGAGTGCAGGTGTCTCTGGCATGCTGATTTCAGTTTCTTCAGAGAGACGCCTCACTTCCTTTCCACCCCGTTTTCCACTATCCCCTGATTCCTAAATAGGATTTCATTTATTTATTCCAAGACACCGTGCCTCCTTAGGATGCAAACGTCCCTCTCTTTAGTCATTTGGCTCTGCACTTGCCAGCTCCTAAGAGGGGTGGGGCCTCAGCAGAAGGGAGCCTCTGGAGGAGGGAGGGGCTGGGTGGCAGGTGTCGTGCATTTGGGGAGAGCAGGAGCTGAAAGGTGGGAAATGTGTGTGCAGGGTGTGGAGGCCAAAAGCATGCACTTCCAGTCAGCCTCTAGCGTGGGCCAGGAGCTTTGGGCTGATGAAGAATTTTGTACTAATTCTCAGCATGAAAGGAGCATTTTTTTTTTTTTTTTTTTTTTTTTTTTTTTTTAGATTTAGGAAGATTTATTAGAGTCAAAGACCTCCAGCCAGAGCAGCATGGAGGGGGAACTCCAAGAGAGGAAAAAACCCAAAGAATCTTGTAGCATTGGGGTTTTTAA